AAGTCTACCGGTAAACGTAACCCCAAACGTTTGGCTTGCTTTTCCGCTGCTAGCACTCGAGCCAACAGAACATCATCATCAATCAAAGATCTATAAGTGATTCTCCCTAACAATCGATTATGCTTACACATTTCGAAGTAATAATGGAATACACCTAGTAAAATGTAGTGATTATGAAGGAAGCAACCATAAAGAATTAAGAAACTACAGCGTAGATGGTAACAAGAAAAATACCTTGAAATGTGGGAACTTCATGGCCAGGCGCATATAGCTTGCACCCATCGGGAGCACATATATTTGAAGTCCACGACCCTTCAATCTCGGAAAATTAAAGGAAGGAACTCTTAGATGATGCATGTAGCTTCGGCATAAGGAGATTTTATGGAACGTTTCTTTTAGCAACCAAAATGAATTTTGGACTTACCCAATTTATGAAGAGCTAATTTGCTTTACATCAATTCGACAAACTCCACTTCTCACTTTCATTTTTCGAACTCGGGGGTGTGTGTGACTGTAGGAAGGTGGTTTAACACCATATGGTTCAACTCAACACTAACCGATAATCAATAGCAGACCCAGGATATTTTTTCACTCATGTCAAATACAAGTCAAAAAGAAAAAAAAAATGGATGACAAATGTATTTTTCTCAGTAACAATAACGAAAATTAAAAAATTACCCAGGTCACATGACATGCCTTTCTTGTGACTGGATCCGCCATTACCGATAATGCCCAAAATTAATCAAATAGATGGCTTTGCTGGGTCAAACCTTAGCTTACCGCTAGGGTTTAACCTAAATCTTGTCAAGCGGTCGATAAAAAGATACATGAGAAAAATACTACTATTCGAATATTTCTAAATCATAATAAGGAACATTTTCTTATCGAAGAATAAAGAAAATGAAAATAGCAAGAGAGAAATTTTCTTGATATATATACAAGAGGAAATCGAGAAGAAGAACATAATTCAACTCTCAAGAACCGGAGGCTCGACTTTTACTAAGAAACCCAAACATGTTACTCAAACTTGTTAGCAGCTTCTTGTATCATTGTCAATCATGTTATTGATCTAATAAACAATCTTACATGCTTTTTACCGGTTTAGATTCATTGCACGTATAACTCGTACAACTATCATTAACAAACAACTTATCAGTAAATGATTGTTGGATTTAGTTAAAAGAATTAAAAATATTGTAAGCATTTCTCTTTATTTAAAACTAGCAGTTGACCCGCGCTCCGCGCGGGAGGTTTATAATTTTGTTTCGTTGATTTTTATTCATATTGTGATATTTTATTATTTTTTTAATTGATTTTCAGAAAATATTAAAATTATTTTCTCTTTAATTATTATCTTTCAATACTCAAATTTGGATTAAAAGCATTTGATTCAATTTATGAAATATCATTTTTTTCTTTTTGATCATGTTATAAACTAATATTTCACTTTCATTTTA